TAGGAAAAATATTTATTCTCTGCAGCTTGAATGACCAAGATCCTCCTCTTTTGAAACTTTATTCTCTGCAGCTTGAATGACCAAGATCCTTCTCTTTTTGAAACTTTATATGTATTTCTTGAGGTTTTGCATACTTAGGAGTTAAATTCATAATTTTCACGTGCCAAAGCAAGAAATGCTTCATAATATAGGGTGACTTGTTCTGAAAGCTCGCAAAATAATCCTCTACTGTCTCAAATTAAAGGTTATGAGGGTCTGTGTTATTACTCATTTAAAGTGGATGGACTCTAATTTGCTCTGTTAGACCTGTGTCCGTGTTCTCTATATTTAAAAAATTGATATTGAGGCCATTTCATTGTATATATTTGGTTTCTTTGTTGTTTTGGTGTGTTCTCACATTAATTGGCTGTGACTTCTTGGCGTCTATGTTTTTCTCTTAAAATTGTTTTCTGATATAGCAGTGCTGTCATTTTGATTCGAGTATTTATTTATTTATTTTGGTAAGGGTTGGAGCTTATCTCGAGGAACACTACTAAGAAATATAGTATTCCCTTCAATAATTGATGCAATTGCATTGGATCCTGCTGAACACGTCTTTTATGCTGGCAGTAGAGATGGAAAAATATTTATTGCCGCACTTAACACTGAAAAGATCTTTAGTCATAATCATGAGATGCATATCCTCGGTTCATTCTCTAATCACAGGTTAGTTCTTCTCTTCTAAGCACACATATTTTGAAACATTGACCTTGCTATTAGTGCTTTACTCGTATTTTCTCCTTCATGCTCTCAACCCTTCACGTTTGCCTTACTTTTGGTAGTTTGTTTTCTATTTGCCATGATATTTTTCCTCATGTAAATCATGGTGAAGCATTTGCAAACTTGTCTCGTCTGCACACGTGCTTCATGATTGGGCTGAAATTTAGGTTTTTCCTTAGGTTGGTGCTCAAATTGCTAGGAGCACCTTCTTTGAGCCTATATTTGATAATTTAGTTGGCCAGAGTCAGTGATGTACTCTTTTCCATTGCAAAAAATTTGTACATTGGCTTCTGACAGGGCATGGTAGTTTGACTTCTTCACCAGTGGACAGTGTATAGCCTGTTTAGTTCAACATGATGAGTATGCCTGATTATTGACATTAGATTTTATTTATCTTGAATTCCTTATCATGGATCTTATTCGTGACGTGTTAGAACCTATAACAAAACAAGTCATGCCCCTTAGCTTGGAAGTTTGAGTTTTTCATTAAAATAGTTTATTAACATGGTATCATAGCCTCTGTGATCTATGCAATCAGAAGTATGATCCTTGCTGTTCCTATGATCATTGAATTAAAATTCCTGTGCAAATTACGGTGTCTTTGCTTTGTCCATGAGTCTAAAGGCTTACGCATGATGGTGTATGACAGATAGTGATAGAATCAATCCTGGATCTTCACTTAACGCATTAGAATCAAGCTAAATAGTCGTTGATTTTGAACAAACATGTGCTTGGTCTATTAACCTGCTTTTTCCCCTTCCTTCAACAGCAAAGCAGTTACTTGCTTAACATATAGTGCAAGTGAGAATTTGTTAATCTCTGGATCAGAAGACGGAATGGTTCGGGTTTGGAATGCAAAAACACATAATTTTGTCCGCATGTTCAAACATGCAAAAGGTTAGTGTTCAATACATTTTAGTTATGATATTTTCTCGTCTATCATATACTGCTATATACAGAATAAGCTCATGACTTTTTCGATCGCTGTATGTATTGGAACTCAATGATAAATATAAGTCTTGATACATGTGATGCAAGAGTGCATGTGACATTTTGCACTGTGTGGGAATCAAACAATGTCAATTTTGATGTTAATCTGCTGGGAATATTGCAGGGCCTGTGAATAATATTGTCGTTGTTAGAAAAGAGCTTGACTCAAGCAAGCATATGTCTTCAACTTTACAATCGGGCTCAAGAAAGCAGGGATCTTTAGTACCACCTCCATTGGAGAAATACACAAATGAAGATTCAGAAGTTCAGACCATTGTTAGCCTTCACGATGACAGGAGCGATACGGATGTTTCATACATGTCTTGTCGGGCCATATTTAATCAAATCAAGGAATTTCAGGTTTGTTGCGCATCGATATATTCTCGTCATTTGGCAATTTTTTTATTTATTTTGGGGTAAAATACCGGCATTTAATTTTCTAACTTGGATAAGATCTCTGTCTTTAACCGTTTAAACCAGAATCGGGGCTCCTCTGCCTCTGAAATGGAGATGGAGAGGCTAAAAGCAGATCACAAGAGGTCCGCCCAGATGGTTGACCGATTTAAGAAAATGTATGAAGATTTGCAAGACTTCTATGAGGACGACTTCCTGAGAAGTGGTCAAACAAAACCTGGCAACTAGATCGCTTTATTTTCTTGCTTGCCCTGCTCAAATTTACCCTTCCGAAGTAGTTTTTTTTTTTTTTTTAATGAGAAGTATAAATTTTAACCCTCAAGGCTTGGGTTGTATTTATTTATTTATTTTAAAGTTCTTTCAAAAATATGAAATTATTAAATACAAACGTAACACGAGCACAAATATCCCCGTGTTTGAGAGAGAGAAAGGGGGAGAGGGTGTTTGTATGGCTTCCAAGTTCTAATGAGAAAGCAGCAATCTACAACTGAATGCCTGGTTTAATTGGGAAGGGAGCTATGTCAGTTTAACCATATGTCTCACGAGCTCGAATATGAGAATGCAGCAGTGTTAGCGTTAGTGGCAGAGCTTCTCACCCAAAAGAATTCCAACCTCCCTCGTTAAAATCCGAGTTAGTTTGGCCTCAATGAAAGTCCCTGGATATGAAACAATCTCTGGACGCCGAATAGCCTTGGTTTTAAAACAACTGTTTTACTATACAAGATAAAAACGAATACTCATTTAGTGAAGATTGTCGCTGTTCCTATTGGATATCTTGTTTTTTTTTTTTTGGTTGTTACTAAGTATAGGTATTTTTCTATTCGTATTAGAGCTAATTTTGTTTGAAATGCTATCAAGGCACTAATATAGTTATATTTTTTAGTGGAATTTTAATCTTAGCCACATTATAAGGCAACAGTTTTTTGTTTTTTTTTTTGCCGGAACCAATTCTCATTGGACTATATATTTTTTGTTGATCATAGCGTTCTGTTAGTTTGCATTATTGAGCTTGTATTAGAAGAATATTTCATCAACTAACGAATCATCAAATTGATATATTTATTGAGGCCCAGTTTCTAGGGCGAATTATTGAAGCCCATTTTAATGACCAACCATATCCATATTACTCATTTCATTTATTCCCTTGTTTTTACCTAAAATCTAATGATAAATCACTTTCCCTTTCGAGAAAAAGATCTAAATTACATAATTTTTACTTTTATTTTAAAATTTAACTTTTCCTGAAATTGAAAAATATGATGCTGGTTCCCGAAAGGGGAGCTGTGAATCATATATGGAGTACTATTTATATAACATAGGAAGGATTGCAAATGCCTGCATTAAAAATTCGAATAGTTGAACAATTAATCAATTTTTAACTTTGATATTAAATGTCATTTTGATGAAGAAATTATTTGAAAAAATGACACAAAAAGAATTTATATTATTTTCATCAGTCAGAATGCAGTGACCTAGCTGAAATAAAGAAAAAAAATTTACACGGCATTTTTATCTAATTTTAAGATTTTTATTATGATTTTTCTATTAACTTACGTACTTTTTTATTAATTTTAATTTTAAAAATTATTTTTATATGTACTTTCATATTTTGGAAAAAAATATTATTTTTATATCATTTGTGTATTTTGGAATATAATACTTGTATAGCTAGGTTAATGTATGTCATGCTAGATATGAAATGAAAATCACACTAAGTTGTATAGTTCAGTAGCTATACAGAAGCACTGGTTGAAAAAAGAAAAAAAGAAAAAAAAGAAGCTATATAGAAGGGAGGGATACCTGATTTTTAAAAAAATTAAAAATAATTTATTTACAAATGTATAATCTTACAACAAAAATAAATATCATTAAAATAAACTTGAAATATTTTAGTAAGCTTTACTTTTTGTGATCAGAAAAGAATTTATATGCATGTCTTTTACAGTAGAAAAAAAATAGTACAATAATTTAAACATACATTGAGGAATAAGAAATTAAGTTACACAAAATTTAATTATGAAAATTGCTTAGATTTGCTAAGTTGAAGAATGTAATTGGTCAGAATCAAAGAAAACAACTCGCCCATAGCATTATTTTGAAGAAGTTGACAAGATTTAACTTAATTTGTTATGTTATGAAAAAGGTAGACATTCTGTATGGGGACGCCCCAACATCAATGATCAATGAGTTTTTATTTATAAAAAGAAGCAAAAAAAATTACAATTGAGGATCTCAACTAAACAATATTTACAATGAAGAATATTTTAAATTAAAATGATCTTAAAGTGGTCAAACCCAAAATTTAATTTAATTTTTTTGAACCATTTTATTACTATGAAAGAATTTAAAAATTTAGAGCTTTATGTACTTTTCCAGTCTTTAATATAGGACCTAATTGTTAAGTTAATTTTCGTCCTAAATATAAGACCTATTTCTTATATTTATCAATTTTTTTCTAAATTATCATATGGATACTCCATCAACCATAATCAAGTAAGTGAGAGAGGGAGGATATTAAGAAAGATGATTATAGTATTTTAGAAAAACTATGTCATATTTCTTATAATTAACTAGCTTACCTAACTTCTTTAATCTAATCAAATTAGTTAAATAAGTCTTATATTAAGGACTGGAGGAGTATAAGCAATGTTTTCATATCCATGCCGGAGCATTGAATTGGTCAAGACACCGGTTAATTGGATCATGATCACAGTGAGTTACATCGATGCAATGGTTGTGCTTAATATAAAAGCTATATAACTAATTTAAAGAGATTAAATAAATTAATTAAGTTAATTATTTGTAACAAATATGTGTTGATTCCTAAATTATTCCATTTAATACTACCTCTTGGTCAAAACCACTAACAATCAATAAAGGATATTTTGGATAAAACATTGTAAATTTGGAAGACAAAGTGGATTGAGCTCTTATTTAATTAGGACTAAATTCAACCCCTCAACTAGCTCTTACATTTTTAGTAACATGGGTAGTAATATTTTTCAAATAATGCATATGCAGAAAATAATTTAGACAGTGTTTATTCATATACATGTTACCCAAATATGTCTTATAATATCTATGCACATGAGTCTCATAAGTGCCCAACTTAAATATTATATATTGTCTATTACAAATAACCAAAATGATCAAGTATGTCAAATTAATTTAGTTATTGAAGTGAGAAAAATGAAATATAATGAATTAAAAGCGTTTAATTATTATTTTAACACCTGCGCTTGAAGCAGTTGATGTAAAAGCAAAACCATGTGACGTATGGATTCTGATCTATTAATCCAACAAATAATCATAATTTATGGAGAAAATCAACAAAGCTTTATAGTGTAAACAAAACTAATCGTATCCAGATTTCAGATCATCCCAATATTTAATTTCCATTATATATATATATTTATGATGACATATTATTATATATATGTATACGCCTTCAGACTCGACCCTAATGATTGTCTGTGTTTGAAGCTGAGGATTCAATATTGGCCACAGATACAAAGAACCAAACCCTAATAATGGTGATCCCAGTCACTCCCAGCATGCCTCATTATTTTATTCTTAGAACTTAGGAGCCGTTCATTTCTTCAATCTTTCACACACGCACACACACCGCAAAATTTATATTAAAAAAAGTTTCCTAGAAACTATAGGACATTGAACGAACTTGATTTTATATATGCCCAATGTGTTTTCTGGAGGAATCTCAAATGTTTTTAATTATATGGAATCAGATTCTCCTCATGCTTTGGTATTTGACGTCCCATCATGGAGAGAATATATGCATATATATATATATATATATATATATATGGGATTTGTTCGCCTTTCTCTTTTTTATTTTTTATTTTTCAAATCGGTTTGTCCACAAGTTTTGATGTGGTCATGTTCGTCAACATGTTCGCAACATCTTTCAACATGCCTGCCCACATTAATTCTAACTTTATTTTTTTATTATAATTTTTCTTTTGGGATAGTGAAACATGTGGCCAACTCTAGGCTCCACATGGTACCTTCCAAGTTTCACTACTTACCTTGTTTGATTTTGATCAAGAAAAGCCAACCCAGTTGGCTTGCATAAACTTAAGTTGGTGTCAACTTAAGTTAGTTATTTCTCATGTAAAATATCAAAATTATTCTCAATAAAAGCATTAATTAGAATAGTTTGGTTATCTAGTTAGAGAATTTTATAGTTAGTTAGGTCATACTAGATGATAAAAGTTAATACTACTTTAGCAAAACATATTATATTATGAAATATGATGAGTCCTTTTAATAAGGACTTGATTAAATCTCTCTATAAAGCAAAAGGAGGTTTGCTTAAAATTGGTTAACCCTTCCAAGTTCAACTTTATTTCTTAACTCTTTGGAATGCTAAAACAAGGAAAATTGATTGGCAAAGATTGTTCCCACGTAATGTTTGTTAGAACATATGGAAGAGTATATGCAAAAGCTTAATTATACTCTAAAAAGGACACCTCCATGGGTGATCTTGCTTTCATTAGCACTCAGAATGTCATTGATGATCTCAAGCTTGAAGTAGGAATGGGACCCTTAACTACAAGTTAAGAGGCATCCAATCAAAAATGGTATCCGCATTCTATTTTTAGGAGTTTTTCCTCTTAATATTCTTTCTTATCTGATTTTCTCCTTATCCAAACATAGAGTTAATCTCTGTTAGGGCGGCAGACGTGACAAAGTCAATATCCATTGCAATTATTGTTGTGATATTTGTGTGGGTATGTCAAAGAAAAGATCCTAATAAGAAATGTGGGAAGATAAAAACAAACCGAGCATCAATCATGGACAGATTTTCTTATTGTTAGGAAAATCAAATGTTAAAGAGTTTTAATGTCATAAACAGATTTTCAATGCATTAGAGATTTAAAAGTGGCCCACTAAAATCCTAAATGAAAAAATCCTTTAATGCATTAAATCATTTAAATTGCTGAATGGATTTTATATTTTATAATTGTTTAATGCCTTGAAATGTTTGAAATCATGAACAACGCTTTTAACCATTTTAACTATAATACATTAAATGATTTGATTATGAAATTCTAAGCAGAATGCTTATGTATTTGCCTCCAACGCCTCAGATTGTGCAATTTGACAATTTAATGGTTTCAACATTCAAAAACTGACTTTTTTTTTGTCATTAAGAGGCTAGCAACATTCAGATCACTGGGGTCAACACACACAGCTCTAGAGTTTTCGAGCTCTTCTTTTTTCCTGTCTGTATATTCTTTTACCTATTGAGTTTACTATCTTTTGTTGTTTTCCTCACCCTGTTTTGCAGGAAGATCT